TGTAACATTCAGCCTAAGCAGAGGACAAAGATAAAGCTGTCCTAATTAAAGAACTGCATTCTAAGATATTTCTGATCCTGAATAAACCTACTAAATTTCCCGACTGAACTCCGCAGCAGTCAGTAAAGTCTGTGAGCTTCCTGTGGCCGCAAAATAGCAAATCCAAATTGGTAAGAGACTGAGAATCAGCCGAAGGCTGTTGATGCTGACTGTGACTCTCCTCTCGTCCAGTGAAGTTAGAGGTCAAACACCTCCCCCATCACAGGAGGCAACGCCTTTTTCTACAGAGCTCAATTCCTATCATTTTACTCAGGGCTTTCCTAGTTTTAAGGCCCTCGTGGTGTAGTGGTTATGAATTGTGCCACTAACCGCAAGGTCTGCAGTTCAAAAGCACCAGCCTTTCTGTGAGAGAGAGCCGAGGCTTTGGACTCCATGGAACTCACAGGGGCAGTTCTACCCTAGAGGGTTGCTCTGTGTTGGCTTCGACTGGACAGCAGTGAAGCTTGATTTTTGGTTTGAAAGCATAGTGGATTAAGGACTGGGCTACCGGCAAGGTCAGTGGTTCAGCCCTGCCACTCTGTGGGAGAAGAGAAGGTGTCCACTTCCACAAGGACCGAGTCTCAGAAGCCCTGTGGGACAGCTGGGCTTTCTCTCAAAGGGTCGCGACTGCGCTGGAAATGACTCAACGGCAGTGGTTGGGTTTTTCAGTAGTGTAGCGGTTAAGCACTCAGCTACTAATCAAAAGGTTGGAGGTCCAATCCCACCAGTCATTCCATCGGAGAAAGCTTGGGTACTAAGCTTCCTTAAAGATGTAGAGCCTTGGAAACCCGTGGCGCAGCTCTCCTCCTCCAAGTCCTGACTGACACAAGGGCAGTGGGGCTTCCGGGTTTTCACACTGGCTCTCCATGCCCTGGGCCCTCAACTCCGGGCAAACCAGGCCATGGATCACCCTATCTCTAAGTTGGGATGACTTTCTGGTTCCCTTCGCTATAGCCTCGTAAGAAGGGCAGCGAGCAGGGCGCGTTCTTTGCTGCGCTCAT